CAATATTTGATTTTGACTTTGACTAGTCAACATTGAATTCTCTGAATGTTTTTATATAAATGCAAAGCTAGACATTTGTTCAGTTATTTTTAGCATATAGTAAAACCTTGCTAATTTGCATTAAGTCACTTGAACAGCCATTAACAGATTACTTATTATATAAAGAGCAAAATTTAACAAAACATATGTACATTTAGTTTGATCACTGTAGTTAAGATGTATTGTAATTATTTATGCAGCCAATTAATAAATGTTCGTACAAATAATGAAGTGTTAATACGACATCTCTCTCCAGTCTTTGCTAAGAGTGGGGAAAAATACACTTTTTTGGTGTGTGATTTCAGCAGTTTGTGAATTATAGCAAGGTTTTATTGAGACTAATTACAGGAGAACAATATAAGGAAGCCCTCTCCATACATCTATTGCATGTGAGAAAAAGTGGCACAACTTTGGTGAATTTAAGTACTCATTTAAGATAGGGACTGATGGCATGATTAATGCCAGGCAGATGTGGATAGCACCATGCAAGCTTCCCTGTAATGCACTCTCAATTCTGAGTTGTTGCAAATAGTATTTTAACTCAATCTCTTCTAGTAAAAGGGCTATCAGTTGATGGGAATCGTGTCAAACTCTAGGAGTATGAGAGAGAGTCTAATACAGGTAGACAGATTGAGACTACCAAACTAATTTCATTTGAGACCTAAACAAGATTCAAACAGACCTCCAGAGGGAAATACATCCAATTCCCTTCACACTAACCAACCTCTCTCTCTCTCTCTCTCGGTCACATACACGGCTACTATACTGTCATCTATGCCCAAATGTCCACCTTCAGAAGGAAAACAGGATTTTTAGGAATACTGCTTTGTGTGTGAGAGAGAGCGCACAAACAGAATGAATGCCATGGTACAGCAGCTATAACATATTACACACACTCACTACACACTTTTTACAAAAGGGAAAAATAGTATAACAGCATAAAGTCATCTTGGCAAGTTTAAGATTTTTCTCCTAAATGCCTCACAGCACTTTAGGATCTCTGAGAGCAGTTTAAAGGAAGGGGGAGGGGGAATAAAATAAAGAAAAGGCACTTAAACAAAGGACAAAGGCCTGAATCAAGTCAGTCATGGAGGGGTAACAGCCATTTCACCAGAGTTTGGACCAATAAGAATCTAGCAACTTTTATTTTTAAACCTCTATAAAATTAAAATTGCATAAAGTGTTAGTTAGCCAGTCATTTACCTACCACATTTATTTTCTGGTTCATTTTAAGAAAACAAAACAGCAAGTGTCCCTATTGTTATCCCCATCTCAGCAAAATATAGGGAACTGGAGTCCTGGTGTAAGCCTTCCAGAGCTTTGCTTGACTGCAGGTTTTGCTTTTTCCTGCAATTCCATCTTCAAAGAAAGTCAAAAACTAAAACAGAAGAGGGAGCACTGTGCCTTTAACAATGCACTAAAAAAAATAATAATCAAACACCCAATCATTCCTAATCCATCTGTGGGCAAAAACTACTCCAAGAACAAACTGTAAACTAGATTAAAATTTGCTAATAAATACAGCCAAAAGTTCATTTTACAAATGTAGCAGCAAATGTGATAAAGTTAGTTGGAGTCCTAAGAGTCAACCCCCGAGGGTTAGGGTTTGCGCAACTGATGGCAGGTTGGGAGAGTTGCGGGATTTCTCTGCTTTCATGTCCTCAAGTGTCCTAGACCAAGTGGAGGAGGAGTGTAGAGGAAGTTTCAGGGAAAAGAACAAGATCCTGTGTGCCTGCTTCACTCAAAATCTATGCACCAAACATCTTTGACTGGATTCAAACAAAAAGCAGAATCCAGGTAAGTAACAGTCACTTCTGATTAGCTGAAAACAGATGTTAAACCCACAGCAACCACACTCACGACTTGGTGCCACAACTCATTAACAGCAAACTAATAGAGAATGATGGGCAAAAACCGATTTAGGCCATCAATGTTTTACCTATGGAGGTGGAACACACAGCAGTCATGATCCAAATAATCACAAGCTGCAAAATTTCTGGTTCTTCTAGTCTAGCTCCTATCTCTATTGTTTGCAAAAAGTTCACAGGAAATTTAACATAGCTATTTATGCCTTTTGGAGCTTTGGAACATGTAGCAGAAGGCATTACCCACAGGGTTTTAGCTTCTAAAAATTATGTTTGAAATTATTGCTTGCACTATTTGAGGTTCAGAGTGAGCTTGATACTTTAGCTCACATAAAATCCTCAAATTAAGGTCAGCCCTGCTGCCCAGAAAGACAGCTCTTCTGGCTCTTATTGCTTGTGAATACTGAGGGTTATTTAGTATGTACAACAGTTAAACCAAAGGCCCTTAAAGTAGTAAGACTCTTGAAAAACAGCTTAAACAACACATAGCTGTGCAAGGACTAGTGAAGTGTATTAATCTAATTTTGAGTTGGGATGTTGCAGATATCCTTCACTGCATATCTGCTCATGCTCCCCCATTCTGCAAAGATCCTGGGAATTACTCTATAGATATCTTTTGACCTGGTGTTTCTGGGTTGAGCAAGTAGAGAATAGAGAAGGAGTTGGAATACAAAATCTTTCTCCTCTATGTCACTTGGTTCTGAAGTGGCCTACCAGACTGGTAGTGAACAAAATCAGTTATCCTTTGAGAACAGTTTCAGAGGCCTACAGTAAGTGATTGTGTGATCTCAGTCCAGTTTCTCATCATACAACTATTTCAACAACTAGTATTAATATGCCTTCTTGTTACCAATCTCAGTAAACATGCCAATGATTGATTGGAATGTGGAGACTGAACTCCCCCTGTCAATCCTAGAGATGATACCCTACAAATGAGGCACACTTGCGGTATGGGGAGAAGGAAACTTGTGCTGTCATCGTCTGTGCTGTATGGATAAAGGGCTCCAATCTCTAGAACTGTCAATTGTGTTCATGTCACTAGATCTAGAATTTCACTTTTTTTTTTTTAAAGTGTCAATGTAAAGGATAGCAATATGAGTGAGACACCTTGATGGAAGAAATATAGAAGGAGGCAGAATTCTCTTAGGGTGGGGGGGTCTTTTCCACATATTGCTGCTGGATGGCTCTTCACTTCAGCCCCCTCCCCATCCCCCAGCTACATGCATTATTAGAAATGTTGGTATGTTTGGCTTAGGTCAAAGAATTCTGGCATTACAATATCTGCTTCCTTCATCCTTCTTGGAGTAAAAGACCACACAAAAGTAAAACTTGAATGCTCCCCTCTGAATAGTTAGTGGAATCTTATGCCTCGGAGAATTTTCATCTGACTAGGAATGCCACTGTCTGTATGAATATATATACACACCCTTTTTTAAATTAACCTTGATGCCAAGAGTTATAGTTTAATCTAACCAACAGGCCACCTACAGAACACTTACATTAGCAGAAATATCAATTTGCCTAGTGCCATGGGGTGAAATCCAAAACCTAACGGATCTTATTTTGGTTTAATCTGTCATTTACAGAAATTCCTTGTGCAAAATTCTTTATTGCTGGGCTCAACCCAACATTCATTTATTTTATACTACATATACAATATATATTATCTTAAATTCATGTTTATATAAATTTATATATAAAAATTAAAGAGATCTAAATTGAAAAAATGAACTGTTGTCTGGTTTCAAGAAAAATCGTTCACATGTAAAAGAAAACAAAGCTAAAAGTTAGTCTAGCAAAAACACTAGAGATTTAATAGCCAAGGGTCAAAGTTTGTACTTGGAAGGTGTGAGATAATCAGTCACAAGTACAATCTCTAATCAGAACTACTGGAAAGTTCAAGTAAAACTAAAATTCCAATATCTGATCATAAGGATGTACTGGATTTACAAGTGAAAATGTCTCAAATCAGAAACTGATGTTCCAGATCAGAAGATTTCATACTTTCTTGCTTTTATGTTGCAAATTCTGCCAGGCTTCCCTTTCCTCTTATAGAACGATGGGACTCAACAATACAGTTTTAATCTAAAGATCTCTTCTGTCCTATTGTCAAAAGTGCAAGGTGTGCTAAATGTTTCCTAAACTTACAAATGGACCACCCAATATATTGCTGTTCAAAAATGAAAGCTAGCCATACAGTCTTGTATTACCATGTAGGGCAGAGTTCAGGTCATGAGTACCCCAGGCCAGCAGGGGCCAGAAACGCTGGAGAGAAAACACACTTAGCCCCAGGAGGAGAAAAGGCACCCCAGGTCGCTTTTGAACGACTCCTCTTTGGCTAATACTTGAAGCAGTATAACCTGGCTTTGAAGAATGCCTCATCCAGCTCTGCTTAGCTGAAGGGTTCACTAAAATGTCTGGCTTTTGAAAGTAGTTGGATGGAAGAGGTGTGCTTTATAAAGGATGAAGATTCCACACTGTAACAGTAGAGATGCACAAGGAGAACCAATTGAAGAAATGAAGCAAGTTTAAGGGTGGAAAACCAGAGTGTCCATCTTCCAAAAATAAGTTGTGGGGAGATAAGAATTCTGTCTGATGTGAAAAAAATCTATTTTATGTAAAAAGACAGAATTTTGTCTTTAAATACCAATCATTCTATGCTAAAATTAACTTGGGAGCAGAGATTAATAGGAAACCCCTTTGATTCTTCTCCTGCTTCTCCAACATGATTATCTCTTTGAAAGGGAGCTCTGTCTGGGGAGTACTGAGATGGCTTTTCCACAGGATCCACAAAACCAAACAGGGCCTATATTTGTTAGGCTTTTCCAAAAAGAGGTAATGTTGGACAAATGTCCTTATTAGAAACTATCTGTACAAAGTTAATTTCTTACTTATGCCATAGAGCACCCAAGCAGAGACCACCTCTGGTCTGCCACTACATATGGTCCACAACTATATGGTACACTAAGGGCCCATTTATATTCTTTTACAAGGGCCTTCAACTTGTTGAAGTGGATGGCTTTTCATCTCCCAAGATAGATGGAGAAATTTACTCCATCTTCCTTCATGCTTCAGCCTTAATAAATGTTCGGAGTAAATTTCTCCATCTTCCTTCATGCTTCAGCCTTAATAAATGTTCTGGGTAATGCATAATGATGTGCCACTGTGGGTTTGACAACTGAAACTTGCCAGTCAGAATGGATTTTGAAAGGCTGAGTTTCTTTAGGTAAGCTCAAACTATGACCAATCTACATGAAAGCATTTCCTCCTTTTCCTCCTCAATTTGATCAAGTATTTTCTTTTTCTTCTTTCCTCTCACCACAGTGCTTGGGATCAGAGTATGTAAACATTGACAGAAACAGCAGCCCTGTGACCATGTAAGCATTTTCCCAACTGGGCAGATTCCATCAGCCAATCAGAACTGCTTCATGCTCCCTTGCTCATCCAGAAATCACTGGGTTTTCCGCTGTAACTTAGTGTCCCCTTTACTTTGGCCTCCATCTAGAATTTGGGGGTGGGGACAGAAGGGGGAAAGAAGAGGAACAAAGAAACACAGGCATAAAGTTATTTTGTGATTATCTAAGTTACACTATAAATAAAGCAATGTACACTGCAGAATATTGAACTGCATTCCCACTGGTTGGTGTATTCTACCATTCAGGGTACATCTAGACTACATGCCTCTGTTACCAGAGGCATGTAGATTAGGCTACCAGACATAGGAAAATGAAGCGGCGATTTAAATAATCGCCGCTTCATTTAAATTTACATGGCTGCTGCGCTGAGCCGACCAACAAGATTCCACAACCTCCCTGGGCAATTTATTCTACTGTTTGACTACCCTAACAGTTAGGAACTTTTTCCTAATGTCCAACCTAAACCTCCCTTGCTGCAGTTTAAGCCCATTGCTTCTTTTTCTATCACCAACAGCTGATCAGCTGTTTGTCGGCTCAGCGCAGCAGCCATGTAAATTTAAATGAAGCGGTGATTATTTAAATCTCCGCTTCATTTTCCTATGTCTGGTAGCCTAATCTACATGCCTCTGGCGACAGAGGCATGTAGTCTAGACGTACCCACAGTGGGCGTGCACAACTTTGACTTGTAGTAAATGAATGTACTTGTTTGCGTCAAAAGCTGTGACTGACTGACAAGTTTTCTACAGAGTGAGGGCAGATTCTGTTTTTTATTAAATGCATTTCTATTAGGGATGCCCAGGTCAAACACTACTAAAATGTACTCTCTCATGGGCTGGAGGATCCCCTTATCTTCTCGCTAGCTTATTTGATTTGAATTAGAGTTGTTGATGCTTAATGCTCAGCTCAAGACACTTTTCTCTCGAAATAACTAAATTGTCATTTGAGAGAATGCTAAGATTGACCTTCAGATCATTCTAGTACTCTTTACCTTGTAATAAAGCATATAAAATCAACCTGTGGAACTTACTGCCACAAAGACTTACTGAAGCAAAGAGTTGAGTAAGAAAGGTTGGACTATTTTCACAAGATCTTGGAACAGCACTTCCTAAAACCCATGGAGCAAAGCATTATGTGAGTGAAGTAAAAAGCACTCCCAAACAAATCCACCTACTTTAGACTATCTACTTCCTGTCTGAGTCATGATTCAAAGTAGCCCAGAAAGTTCCTTGCCCTAATAGTTGTAAACTTCCTCTACAACTGTGGAATGATTTTTCAGCCATAATGAGCCTGTGGACCAAAAAAGATGGCGAACCTCTGATCTAAACCATCCTGCCTTAAAAATCAATAACCTAACCTTCTCAGAAGCCACAATATTCTTCTGAACTAATATTCTGTTAGGAATTTTTAGCCTGCTCCTCCTACTGAAAGTATGAGATTTTGTACTTAGGCAAAGCAATTAACAAAAAATGAAGAAGTTGGTAAATGGAAGTTCAGCTTCACCTCCAAAGGGGAAGAATGGCTCCACAATTAAATCCCTCCTTAATCTTGTAATCAATAAAATAATTATTTCCTGGGCATTAAAAACTACATTTCATTGGAATCTTAGGATTCCATCTTTCAGTGCAAGGAAGTTCACTATCCCCCAAGATTTTTGACATTTTGAGGCAATGGTAGTGACAATTTATGACCGAAAGACCCACCTTCCATTCCCACACATACAACTGCAATAGCATGTGCACTATTTGCCATTATTGCAGCCTGAGAACCTTCCAACCACTTCCTCTGTTGTCTTCATTATCTTCAGAACAACATCAGTCTGGTCCCCAGAAAGGAAGCTGAAGCTCAGATAAATTCTCAGGTCAAATATTGAAATTTGGCCTTTTGGTTTTTAACCTCTGAGAAAGGGAGCTGGGGAAAGGATTTCCTTACCTGTGTAAGCTTGCTGCAAGTGAGCAGGCAGAGGTGAATGAGATAGCGTTGCTGCATGCTGAGCACCTGGCTGTAAACCCTTCAGCAAATCTGAAAGAAATGAAAAGAGCAGGGAAAAAAGCAGGAATTTGGACCCAATGTATACGAGAAGGCTGCCATCTTTAAAAATAGCAGCCTCCTATTTTCAGAGCTATGTTGATGGGCACTACAGAAAAACAAACAAACTGTTACCTACCTATCATAACTGTTTTTTGAGATGTGTTGCTCATGTCCATTCCAAGCAGGTGTATGCGCGTTGCGTGCTGTCATCGGAAGATTTTCCCCTAGCAGTACCTGCCGGTTGGCTGTGGAGCCCCCTGGAATGGCGATGTTATTGTGCTGTATATAGCCCACTGCCGATCCTCCCCCTGTTCAGTTCCTTCTTGCTGGAAAACTCTGACAGAGGGGAGGCGGGTAGGAATTGGAATGGACATGAGCAACACATCTTGAAGAACAACAACAGTTACGAATGGTAAGTAATAGGGATGCTAAAAGTTGTTTAATGAGGTAACAAGCCATGTAAGCTGCTCAGATTTTTGTGGTTACAAGTACTGCAGACTCTGCCGTATAAAGCTTAAATAAGCTTCATACATCATAGCCACCTCCCCAGGAGCAGGGCAGAGTTTAAGCAACATCATTAACTAATAAGATTAATCTTATCACATCAACTTATCTGTTAACCGATTAATTGGTTAATCTCTAACTTGCCTAGCAGGTAACTGTTTTTTCTTCTGCTAGCGATTGCTCATGTCCATTCTAAGCAGGACTACCAAGCAGTTCTCTGATAGAAGGGCCAGAAATTATTGAATTGCCAACTGCAGCACAGCCCTTCTGAACCCAGCATCGTTCCCAACATGCAGGTGAACTGCTTAGTGGGAAGTGAACACATGGATAGAGGACCAAGTGGCTGCCCTACAAATATTCTGGATAGGTACATGCACCAAGAACGCAGTGAAGGATGCTTGTGCGTGTACAGAAAGGGCAGTCAGTGGTGGAGCCACAATCTTGGCCAGGTCATAACACACCTTAATACAGGTTGAGATTCAGGAAGAGATTCTCTGCAAGGTAACTGGAAGACTTCTCATTCTTTCAGCAATTGACACCAAAAACTGAGTGAACTTCTTAAATGGCTTAGTTCTAGCAGAGAATGAGCACTACAGTTCCTTGATGTTTGTCGGGCTGTAGAGTTTGATTTAGAGCACTTTGGGTAAAAATTTACACTTTGGGTAAAAATTTTGCAGGAAAATGTCCTGGCTGGCATGGAAATAAGAAACCATCTTTGGTAAAAAGGCTGGACCTATGGTTCTTATCCTTATAAAAAAACTGTGTAAAAAGATTCCAATATGAATGTCTAAAGTTTGGATACTCTCCTAACCAATGCAATAGCTACTAAGAAAGCCACTTTCCTTGATAGATGCAGAAGGTAACATGTAGCTAGAGGTTCAAAAGGTGATGTCATTAGTTTTGATAATACCACAATAAGGTTCCACTGAGGGTCCAGCTGCTTCACATGTAGGTAAAGCCTGTCCAAACCCCTGAGGAGTCTGGAAACTGCTGGGTCTGTAAACACCATGTAGTCAGCTGAGCCAGGATGAAAGGCTGAAATGGCTTCCAAGAGCACACTTACCGAGGCCACTGTGAACTCTTACTGTTTTAAATGAAGCTGCCTAAGACAGTGTTTCTCAAAATGTTCTGTGGGCTTGCTCTGGGAAAGCTGCTAGCAGGCCTTCACTGCTTTTTTTTTTTTTTTTTAAACCTAAAGGGTCCATGGCTATGGAGCCTCACAGTTACCATTGGCTCCAGTTCATCATTTCCAGCCAACGGGAGCGTGGACAGAAAGGAGGGATGGTGATGGTGGGTAGGAAGGAGGGAAGAAAAATGACTGGAGGGCATATCCCAATTGCACCAGGCTTTAGATCCATTGGTCTTAGGTGATGTGAGATAATTGTTGGCTAAACATGGGGATAGGATATGGTCCACGAGGCTGGTAAGTCATCCTTGATCATACCTTGAAAACTTTTACTTTGGACCAGGGGACTACCTGGATGACCCCTGGCCATGATTATTTGAGGAATTTGGTGGTCTATGTCGATTCCTATGACCATTCCTCCTGCCCTGGTTATGCCTCTGATGGGGTGGGTAGAGAGTGTAATACTTAGGCAGTGGTTGAGGTTTAAAAGCTTTCCTCCATGGTGCAGGTGTGTGGAGGTCCAAGGATTTCAGTGTTGCCCTGGTGTCCTTGAGGCTATGAATCATAGAATTTGCTTGTTCAGAAAGAACTCCAGAGCCATCAAAGGGCAGGTCTTTGGCAGTATGCTGGACTTCAGGAGGAAGACCTGAGACATGGAGCCAGGAGTTCTTATGCAACAGGACTCCTGTTGACATCGGGTGCACTGTCAAATCTGCTGCATCTAGTGTTGCCCGGAGAGAGGTCCATGATATAGTTTTCCTTCCTCTAAGATCACCGAAAATTCTGATCTAGAATCCCCAGGGAGGACCAGGAGTTAAAATTATATTGGCTAAGAACTGCCAGCTGATTAGAAATCCTCAACTGAAGACTGCCTGATGAGTAAATTTTTCTGCCAATAGGTCTAATTTTTTGGCATCTTAATAGATTTAGGGGTAAGCCCCTAATGACCCTGCCTTTATTTGGGATTCACCACATCAACCACTAGTGTCCCAGCTGCGGGTGTGTATAAAAGGTACAAAGTATTTCTACTCCACAACCCTTGCAGTGGGAGGAATTGAAGCAGGGGTTAATCAAAGACTTAGTGATAGCAGATACTGTCTTAATAAAGAACAAGGCCACCCCAGAGATGCCTTCAGGGGTCAATATGTTCACCACAGAATCAAGGTCTTCTACAACCTTCTCTACCTTGAGACTTAAATTAGCCACCCTCTCAAGGAGGTCTTAGTGGGCACAACTGTCCATGAAGACAGTGATGTAGATCTGGTCACTGCCTCATCTGGTGATGAGGAGGAGGATGATCCTAATGGTTCAGGGTCCTCTTGACCTATGAGCTCATGTTGCGTGGGTAGGTGCTCGATGCTGTGATGTCCTGCACATGATGTGTGGTGCTGAGATGGAGATTGGTCACTTAATGAATCTCCATAGTTGAAGGGGCCTGCTTACCAAGCGTGGTGCTGGCTTGGATGTGGGAGGGTGTGGGTTGCGGTGTTCCCAATGCCTTGCCTTGTCATGGTGTGCATGCAGTTCAGGGGGGCATACTTGGACTTGGTGTTGCTTTGTGGTGCAACAACAGTGCTCTGCTGAATATCTGACTCCATGCTGGCTTGACCACCATATTCAGTGCTGGGTTGCATGCTGTTTCGGTGCCAGGATGTGCTGCATGCTCAATGCCCTGGAAAGTAGAGGTGCCCTGGCCAAAGAGTAGGACTGAGGACCTCCTCCTGTCGGATACTACCAACACTGATCAGAGGCTGGATCTCTGGGCTTGATGGTACAACCATGGCATCCGATAGAGCCACTGTGGTGGTGCCTGCCATTGTGGCCACAGCATTGCTGAAGGCCAGTGTGATTGGTCCCATTGAGATTGCACTAAATGGCAACTGCTTCTCATGGAGACATGAGCGCCACGGTCTGAGTCTAAGGACCAACCCAATCTTGATGACAAAGGAAGAGCTGATCCTGATGGCGCAGGAGAGCTGTGCTGAAATGATTGGCCTCTGGGAGTCGCGGTCTCAAGGAGAGAGGTGGTGGGATGAGGAAGACTGTTGACTAAGGTTGGCAGGGTTGCCCCATGCCAGCACTGAAGCAACAACAGACTAGTCTCGCAACCATGGATATGAAGAGTGCTGGGCCATCAGCTCTGTAAGATCTTGAGCCACTTCAAAAGGTCTCTGGAGTAGATGGCAAGTCCAAATCCCCAATTTGGCTACCTCTTGATGGGGACTCAAGGTAATCGGACTCAACGGCTTCTCCAGTAGTGGTGGAATCAGTGGTGCCAGAGTCAGTAGTGCAGGTGTATTTCTAGGCCCAGTAGAGTATCCCAGCATGGGGACACACTCTTTGGGCCTTATTGGACTTGATAGGCATCCTTTCTCGCTGGGTCTTTTCTTCTTGTGTGGTACTGGTGAGTAAGATCAGTGCCACAAAGAAGTGTCTGTAGCTCTTGCATTGGGAGAGTGTCAGAGCCAAGAGGTCTCGGCAGTGGCTTCTTTCAGTGCTGTGCTGTCTCGTACTGAAGAAGGCACGCTGCACACCAAGAATGCTGGTTTGGGTGTTGGTTGCATTGACTGTGATTCCAAGGCTGATTCCAACAGGAGAAGCCTTAGTCTAAAGTCTCTTTCTTTTTTGGTACTGGGGAGAAAGCCCTTACAAATTTTGCACTTCTCTCTTTGACGTCCCTTGCCCAGGCACTTAAGGCAAGATTTGAATGGTGTGTAACAAGAAGCACAGGGCTTGAAGTCTTGGGACTGAAGAATGTCCTGGCCCCTAAGATGGGGAAGACAGTATTACTCCCACTATCTAAATAACTGTAACACTTACAATAGAACACTAATTACAACTACTAGCTAAGGGAAAACAGTTGCTGGAGGCAAGAGAGTAAAGCTCCAAAGACCATCACTGGTGGTAAGAAGAAACTGAGTGGGGGGAGGGTCAGCAGTGGGCTACATATGTCACCAGCCATATGTATAGCCGACCAATGGATATTGCGAGGGTAAAATCTGCTGACTATGCATATGGTGTGGACACATCTGCTTGGTATGGACATGAACAATCACTTGAAGAATAATTAAATGCACAGCAGCACATTCCTGTTTGTTTTTTTAAAGCCATACCTCAAATCTAAAATGAAATATCAAGAATTACACGATAACATTGTCACAGGCGGGTTAGGGCCATTTGGCTATATCGCCAAAAGTTGGTCTATTCAGTCATGGTCCTGTTCAATACTTTAAAAAATGGGATAAACAAATACAAGACATGTTCAATTAACATATATATGATATGTGCTATTAATATATTAGTACTGGTCATCTTGAATACACTGTGGCTAAGTTTTAGAACCGAGAGACTTATATAGCACATTATAACACTGTTCTTTGCCCAATCCAATTTGAAAATAACTTTAGCAGTGGTTTCTATAATTTCCTTCCCAGTTTGAATTTGCAAGTGGTGAAGTAAAGAATGATGTAATTACTCCCGAATTAGACTGCAGTGTGAATAATTAGCTTCACTTACTCTGAGTTAGGCTGTGGTGGAAAACCGCTGAGGTAGATCCCGAGGTGGTTGTTACTCCAGCTGTGTCCGTTCCAAAGCCAAGCAGCTCCAAGGGAAATTGGAAGGGCACGGTCACAGGAACAAGGCCACCCAGCATCCCAAAAGGAGTCAAGGGTGCAGACGTCACATTCTGATTGGTTACAGACAGCGGTGATGTCATAAGAGTCAGAGGTGAGGCATTTGCCAGTAATGATGCTCCTCCTGTTGACTGTACAGAGATGGGTTAAAATAACAAACAACTTTTACATGCATTACTGTGCTACCTACGAACCCTACTCTCAGACCAGGACATCATGGTGCTAAGTGCTGTACAAACAATGAAAAAAAAATCAGTTGTTGACTCAAGGAGTTTACAATCAAAGCCTTAATGGAATAAAATCAAGAATTTTAAATTAACATATTAAGCAGTGGTTCTCAAACTGCAGTCCACTGACCACTAGTGGTTTGCGGCTCAAGCTCAGCCCCCTCTTTACTCCTCCCACAGTGGAGAACCCGTGCTGGAGCAGCAGCCTCATGCACTTGCAGCCCTGAGGTTGGAGCATTAGTGCTGGCTTGACACTTTGGGGAAGGGGACCGTTTTGAGAAAGCCCCAGCTTCCCTGCTGCATTCAGCTCATGGGGAGCCAGAATCAGCTGTGTGCTTCTGCTTCCCTTCCCACTGATAGGGGAATAGCAGCGCATGGATGCATTGTCTGGAGTCTTTCCCTGATGCTCCCAATGGGAGAAGCAGGAGGTCATGCCTGGGACATGGTGCCTGAGAGAAGAAGGGGGCACAAGGCAGGAAAGTGCCCCCCTTCCCCTCATGTCCAGTCCCTGCACTCTCATCTCCTCATGGATCTCCCTACAGAGACGCCACAATTCCAGCCTGCTCCCGTACCCTCCCACCAGCCAGATAGCCTACCCCCAGCCTAATCCCGAACATTGCTCCTACACCCTCTCTCTTGGCCACACATTGCTCCCTCTCTTGCTCCTGCCCCTCTTGCTCCAGGGGAATGAGGTGTCTCAGTTGGGGGACACATCAGAGAGGGTTTTGTTTTGGACAGAAATTAATATTTTACTTTATTTAAAATGAAGTTTGGTAAACTAACATGAGAAAGTTTAAGCACTTCATCTGTTTAATAATTTTGATTAATATTTCCTCTCTTACTGGTTAAATTAAACCGTTCTCTCTAGCTGCAGCACTAGCAAAATGGCTCAGGTGCAATTATGTAATTAACAGTGAATTTTCATTAGCAACTGGTGCTCCGCAGAAAGGTTTTCATTGATTTCATTGAGTGGAGTGGACCGGACCATAGGCCAAAAAGTCTAAGAACCAACGATTTAAAGAATTCAAATGTTCTTGTTATATCTGGTGTTTTTTAAAATACTAAACTCTTTATAAGTATCTGCTATCAGTGTTTAAGCTTCTCTCACACTGTTGGCTTGTTACATAAGCACTTTATAAGATTCATGCATAATGACATTCTTGTTCATCTCTTGTGTTTGCCTTTAAATTTAGACATAACACCATTTCTTTGTTGGTTGCACATGAGGAAGAGGGTAATCAGAGCTCTAAATAGGACATTTTCCATTAAGTTTTTGTACTGTTATTTTTCATCTAATAAGAGGAGCTCTGAATTTTGAGGCAGACAACCTCTTCCCCCTTCAAAAATATATTTTTAAAACACCGAGTCTTAATACACTAGCAGATTTTTTTATAGTTGCTTACGATAAGAAGTCCTGAAAACCACAGCTCCATATTTAAAAACAGTTCTATTTCAAGAGGTATGCGACTCTGCAAAGAAGTGTCCATAATCACACTAATTAGAATTTCAGAGGGAAAGCAAATGAAAAAAAATCATGCTTAAAGAAAATATCTGCCCAAAATTAGATATCTAAATTACCAGGGCTTGCTAACCCGCAGCGAGCCCCGCTTGCCAGCCGTGCTATCCGGCGATCTGCGCATGCGTAGATCGCCCGAACCCAGCTCTTCCGGGTTACAATCTACTCGCTATGGGCAAGTAGACCGTACTATTTGTTGAGCCCTGTAAATTACAATTGTGTTCTCTAGGACTGAAGCAAGAAGAGTCAAGAATACCCTCTAAAATGCATTAATTCACCTGCCATTTAAATATCAGCAACTGTTCAGCCCATTCCCATTAACCAATCTTCCTCCATCACTAAGTAACTAGAAAATTGATCTATCGCTATTCATTCAAGAATCAAGGTGAAAAGGACAATAAAAAACAGAAAAGTGAGCCTGTGTGAATGGACACCAACATGGATATGTAAGGGCTCATCTAGACTACGCTAAAGGGTTGAAAGAGGATATGCAAATTCCATGGGAATTTGCATATCTTCTTCTGATCTCACTTACAAAAGCAGAGCTTTCCTCAAAAAATGAGGTGTACGTAGCTTTTTGAGAAACAGGGAAGGAGGGAATTGCCAAAAAAATGCATCTGGATTACTTTTCCGCTGAATTTGCATATCCTCTTTCGACACTACAGCGTAGTCTAGATGAGCCCTAACAGGCATCTGAGACACAGACATCTATTGAATATAGTACTAGGAAACAGCTTGTATCTGAATAGTAAACTTGGATTAAATACATAATCATTTTTTAAAAAGGAACTGAGATCACCAAGATGATGGAGAAATCTCTCATTTTTAAATAGAGATTCTGGTAGGAGAAACCAAGAAAGAACAGTTCATGACAGAATGGTGAAAACTTCTGCTGACTACATCAAGAATAAAACTAAGATGAAAGTGATTAAAGAAAGACCAGCTGCTGCCTGCTTTCTACAAAGCAAGCAAATGGAATGCTAGAATATCCAGTACCCCAGAAGGACAAAGAAATAAGACTGGTTGTTAAAAGCTTTACTTGTCCTCGTAGTGGTAACAGGGAAAGATCCTAGAGTAGTTGGAGGCCTACTGAATCCCATAAGAAAAAATAAACATTGGTAACAATTATTTTTTAAAAAACAAAAACACTTATTCCTGCTCTGGAGTCCTTAAAAACAACTAACGTATCATGTATAAAATCACATAAGTCAGCTGTTCACTGCCTATATAATTATAATCATTAGTCCTGCAAAGACACAGAAAAAAGGTTATATTCCCTGCCATTACACGGGCCTTAGTCATTGGTGTACCTCAGTCCTTTCTGCTGTTTGCCTGTGGCACATAATAGTCTCTTATGGGTTGTAATACCACGTCTAATTTTGATTGTTGGGTTTAATATGTGAATGCTGGGTGTGTTGGTAGGTTTGTGATATAGGAAGTAAGATTAAATGATCTGGTGATTCCTCCTGACCGTAAACTTTATTACTCTAATCTCTTCCAACAGTTCTTTTGTGAAATGTTGGAGAACCAGAGATGAGCTTCTCACAATGTTCAAAAGTAAACAAATCCAGGTTCTGCTAGACCAAAGGGCAGGACAGAACATTCCAGGACTGAAGATATATACAGACAGAGCTCCAGCTCAAATGCCTCTGATTTCTCCTACAGCTACAAGACACAATGAAAGAGCTAACGCCTGGTAACTCAGACTCAACTCATTTAGCGTTTTAAAGGTCGAAACTCATGAAGTAGCAGTAGAACAAATGAACACAAAGCTCTACTTAAATAATTAGGCTGCCATATTTTGGATTAGCTTCAATTTTGAATGTTCTCAACATATAGCCCCAAATATAGTATGTTATATTATCTATATGTCAAGCTGACAAAAGTACACATAGGTTTGTTGTGATCTATGTCAGAACTAAAATAAAATAAAATGAATCACACTTGCCATATCAACCATAGAGGGAAAAAACGGTTACTAACATTCTGTAACTATTGTTCCTGGATATGCATTGTTCATTCCATGTTTGGCACATATGCCATGTGCACTGTAGCCAGAGTTTCTCTGTTAGTGTTATTTGTTGGGCCAACTCTAGTGCCCTCTGGAGCCTTCTTCTGCTTATATGCCTGTAAATGTGCAGAGCCAGCAGTACCCCTTATACTGTTCTTTCTTGCTGGTAACTGTCAGAGGGATAAGCAGGGTGGGTCATGGTGTAGGCATGAGCAACACATCTCTAAGAACAATGAGAGCAGCAAGAAATGGTGGCCTGGACTGCGCCACATCCTGCAGCTCCCACTAGCTGGGAATGGTGAACTGCAGCCACTGGGAACTACGAGCAGACATGCCTGTGGATGCTCAGGAAAACAAATCAACTTGTAGCCCACCAACAGCTAACTCTGATGCATCATGTGCTGCCAGCACTCCAAATGTTTCCCACCCCTAAAGAACACCATGAATCAGAATACTAGAACTGGAAGGGACCAGGACCAAGCAACCCTAGAACCACCCTGTTTATCTAACTTGCTTTAAATATTGCCAATGATGGAGATTCCACAGCTTTCCTAGGTAATTTATGTCAGTGCTTAACTACTCTGACAGGAAGTTTTTCCAGATGTCCAAATCTAAACCTCCCTTCCTGCAATTTAAGCCTACTGCTTCTTGTCCTAGCATCAGAGGTTAAGGAGAGAAATTTTCCTTCCTCCTCCTTGTAACATCCTTGTAGGTATTTGAAAACTTAGCACGTTCCCTCTCAATCTTTTTTTCCCCAAACTAAACAAACCCTATTTTTTCAGACTTACCCCATAAGTCATGTTTTCTAGACTTAATTATTTTTGTTGCTCTTCTTTGGACCTTCTCCACTTTCTCCACATCTTTCCTGAAATGTGATCCCCAGAACTGGACAGAATACTCCAATTGACACCCAATCAGCGCAGAGTAGAGCAGAATTACTTCGTGTGTATTGCTCACAACACTTCTGTTAATGCATGCCAGAATCAGAGAGTAAACAGACCCTATCCACATCTGGAGGAATCAGACACAGCTTTGTGTATTTAATCATGCAAGTACAAGCTGCCATGTGAATCTCCCAAAAAGCCTGTATGCAGGATGTACAGGCAGTCCCCGACTTACGTCGGAGCCGCACTTACGAACGGGGCTTTCTCGCCCCGGAGGTCGGGGCGAGAAAGCCCCATTCGTAAGCTGCTCCGATGCCCCTGGTCTGCTGGAGACCATCTCCAGCAGACCACGGGCACCGGGCGAGTTCCCGCGCTTCTGAGGCTTTGCCAGAGCAAAGCCTCAGA